CCAACACTCAGGACTTTGAGGCAAGATTTCAAGTTCAAGGACAGCCTGGGCTGCATAATGAGAGCCTGGCACCAAAACTAAAAGAATTTGTTAAAGAGAGCATGGAAGGAATGGGACTCGGGACTTGGAAGTTCTAAACTTCTGGATGGGAAGTGCTAGGGGCCAGAGCAGCGGAGGTCAGCAGTTAGTCAGGGCTGAAAAATAAAACCTTCTGTCACCATAGGGACCCAAGGGTCACTTCCCTCCCTCTGCCCCAGGCTCTTCATGGCCTGGACGTCTGGACACAGGTAAATACAGCATGCAGGGTTCCAAAAGTGTCCCAGAATGCTGTCTATTCTGTGGTCCAGCTCATGCCATAAATATGACCCTAAAGAAATCACAAATCACCTGGATTTAGCTCAAATAATCCATAGAAATAATGGACTTTAAAGGAAACATGGTGTTAAATCTGAGAAAGCGATTCCAAAGTGACCCACAGAGTGTCCTCTGGCCTCAGTGAGGCCAGTGTCGTCCTGCCCTCCAGAAATACTAGATTTACCTGCCTCTGCTGAGAACACACCATTTTCTTTGAGACAATTTCCAGAAGCTTGTCTGAACAGGAACTGACAAAGAAGGAACTCACCACCAGTTTTCCAGGATCCTGGTACCCAACACACACACACACACACACACACACACACACACACACACACACACGTTAACCTTAGGGTATGACCAATCCCATGAGTCACATGGATAAAGTAGGTATCATCGAATATTTATCACATGAATGAGGAGCTGGGTAAATGAATGGGCAGCCAAACCCTCAGAGAATGAGACTACTTCCTAGTCCAGGATGGTGAGTGATTCCAGGACGTCACTTGGGAGTCTGCTTGCCTCTCTCTAGTATTTCATGAGGAGGCCATATCCTGCCCCCTTCCTCAAGCTTCTTCATCCCCATCTTCCCTTCTTCCCTCCACTGCAGGGACTTAGAGAGCCCTATTTGCTGAACTTCCTATTTGGAACGCAGCAGATTTTCAGTGCCAGTGAATGATGAACAGGAGGGGAGAGAAAAGCAAGGTGTGGACCCGCTTCCCAAATGTTTACAGTCTGATTTTTATCACGTTTACTTGTTTGCAAATGTGTAGGTATGAGCCTGAAGGTGTGGGGCATGTGTGTGCCACAGCACCTGTGCAGAGGTCAGCGGGAGCTGGTGCTTTCCTTCCATCACATGGGGAGGCCCAGGGGTCAAACTCAGGTCGTCAGGCTTGGTGGTAAGTTCCTCACCAAACCTGCCCACCCAAGCTCACAATTTAGTCGGCAAGAACAGTCAGCTATGGAAGTGTCATATGGCAGAGCAATAAAGTCCACGAAGGAAAAGCTCTGTGGTCAAGAGAATAGAATCAGTACCCAGGCAATGGTGATGCACACCTTTAATCCCAGCACTCGGGAGGCAGAGGCAGGTGGGTCTCTGTGTTCAAGGCCAGCCTGGTCTACAGAGCTAGTTCCAGGACAGCTAAGGTTACACAGAGAAACCCTGTCTTGAAAACTGAAAGAGGAAGAGGGGAAGGAAGGGGAGGAAGGAGAGGGGGAGGGGGAGGAGGGAGAAGAGGAGGAGAAGAACAAACAGAATCAGTGACCTGGACGAAGACCGACACAGAACAGAGTTGCTCTGTGCCAATCACCTGGCCAAGAGACCACCGCTCAGAAGACAGGTTTACCTTAAGCCAAGCTAAAGAGACAGACTCACTTTTCCTTAAATGAGACACTAGACTTCTCCTTCCTGGAACTTTCCCCCAGCACGGTCCTTACAAGCCAGCATAAGGCTCTGCTGGGTCAGCCTACCCCTCTGAGGCCTGAGCCAGAACCTAGGAGTGTTTTTCTTTTTTTGTTTTGTTTGCTTGTTTTTGTTTTTTTCAAGACAGGGTTTCTCTGCAGCTTTGGAGCCTGTCCTGAAACTAGCTCTTTTAGACCAGGCTGGCCTCGAACTCATAAAGATCCACCTGCCTCTGCCTCCCAAGTGCTGGGATTAAAGGTGTGCGCCACCACCGCCCAGCAACAAGAGTGCTTTTTCTGTTACTGTGGGCATCCTTGTTCTTTTTGTAATACCCCTTTCCCTGCCATGTGCCTGACCTCCATGCCAGCTCAAGTGGCATGGCTAGTTCCTTCTTACCTCCCCTCCTAGGCAGCTGCTGAAGTTTATAGTTTGTTGGCCTTGGGGTGTTTTATCTTTTAAACGTTAATAAATTTTTTCTCAAGCTTCCATTTGAATTTATTCTTTAATTCTTTTGTCCCCAGAGGGGACATTGATTTTTCTCCAGAATCATAAGGATAACAGGTACAAAAAAATAAATATCCAAGGAGCTTATGTTACAGATCAGAGCTGAGAAAATTCTTCCTAAAGGAACCAGAAAGGAGTTGAAGCCGCTGTCAGAAGCCTGACAGGGAGAAGGTGGTGGGATACCTCCCAGAATCAGGACAGTTCAGATTACAAATCGATTTAGTGTAGACCACAGGCTCAAGTGAAAAACTGTGCCAAGTATCTTAAGACAGTGTGTGTGTGGGGGAGGGGGGGTTCTTAGCCAGACTCTCTGTAACAAATATTAATGTGCACATGGGAGACAGAAGAAGGAAGGACTTCTGTAAAGAGCAGTGAAATTTTAGGAAAGGGGCAAGGAACAACAGTAACAACACAAGATCTGGGTTCTCCAGAGGCGGCAAACTGCAGGAGGCAAATAAAAGAAAAATAAAATAAAAAGGACGGGGGAGGGGACGGGCGGGGGGGGGGGACACGGACGGGACACAAAGGCTCCTTAATCTATGCTTGCTGTGTGGTTTCCTCTGGTGCCTCTTCCAGGTGGATGAGGGCCTCAAGGTGTGGTCTGTGTTCCACCTCAGTCCTTCACCCTAGAAGGGAGAATGGGGACAGCCCCCGACGTTTCCACCCAGCTTTAAGGCAAATGCGCGAGGGAGAGCTTTTCTTTCAGGTGCTCCTTTTCAGTGGCCTTTTGCTCAAAATAATCCTTATGCTAAAGAGGCATTGGGGGGAGGGTCTGCTCTGCTACCCTTCAGTAGGACGGAGCACAGCCTCAAGGCTATGATAAGGCACTTGGCCAACCACTTAGTGAGGACCCTTAAGCTGAAGCCTGGGAAGACGGCCTGGCCTGGGGTAGGGACAGGCCGACTACACGACACAGGCAGGCAGCAAACTGTGTGAGCAGGAGGAGGGTGACACTCCTAGGCAAAAAGACCGTTCCTTTAACTGCCCTGGCTCTTATCACGTGCCAGGCCCTGCTGAAGTAAACCCGGCCTGCGTCCTGAGGGGCGGGGGGGCGGGGGTGGTGGTGGAGGAGGCTAGCCCAATGCTTAGGCTTAGGACTTAGGGACCATTAGCTGTAGGGTAGGGGGCGAAGAAGTAGTCTCTGGGCTCTCTCCTGTCACAGACCTCGCGCTGACAATCGTCCTCCAGACCTCACTCTGACCGATCTCTCACAAGGCCACTCCTGGAAGGGAAAGGGTGGCCTAAGAGAAGAGACGAGGGTGACCTTCCGGCAAATACACCTGGGGCTGAGCCTGCAAATGGGGGCTGGGCAGGCGACGGCGGAGGGCCTGGAGCCATCCCCGGATCCAGCGGCTCCCCTGCGCCCCCTGCCGGCCCCATCTCACTGCATGCGACACCGCCCCGCCCTCTGGCCTCCGCACCAGCCGCGGGTCCCCACGCCTCCAGGGAGAGGAGGTGGGGTGAGAGCCTCCCGTCGTTTAGGGCGTGGAGGCGTTCCCGGAAGTCCCCTACCTGAGTGTGGGGGGGGGGGGGACAACCGGGGACGTCCCCAGGCCAGAAATTTCAGCGTTAGGGATTCCGGAGGGTGGGGAGGTGACGTTCTTAACTTTTATTGGTTATTAATTCTGTGCATTTTTTTTTCAGACAAGCTGGGGGAAAAAAGAGCCTGGAAAGCGCCGAGGACTGAAGTCATTCACTTTTCATAATCAGGTTTTTATTAGCGCTCGTGTGTCAGGGCCAATCTGAAGGTGACTCAGAGCTGACAGTCGTGCCGCGGGAGGGCCGCGGGGAAAGGGCTGGCTTCTCCCGCCTTTCTTTTTATCTCGAGGTAGTGAACCTCCCTCCTCCAAGCAGTCCACCTCCTTCTTCAAGAGCCTCTGTTACGGGCAAGGTCGCGGCTCAGTTTGGCAGGTCAGGTCAGGGTTCTCTGCCCGTTTCTGACGTTTTGTCCTGCGTCTGCAGTCTCAGCACGTTCAATGTCCAGGGACAGAAAGCCCTATCAGTGGGAGACTTATCTGGAGGGGGGCAGACAAGAAGGAACAGAACTTCTCATTTCCTGTCCAGTCAAGGACAAGCGTCCAGTCTCTCAAGGTGCCTGCGAATTTGGTCCCATATAACCAATCATCTTTGTGAGTACCCCAAAATTTGGGCCTTGAATAGTCTGCCTTCGGAAGGGTATCCAGAAGGTCATTTAAGAACATGAGGGCTTTAAATCTTGCTAGTCTCTTCTCTCCTCAGCCCCTTCAAAGGCTCCCCATTTCCCTGGAAAAGAAAGCTGAAACGGGGGGGGGGGTCACCCACAACACCTCTGAGCCACTGCTGCTCACTGACCCCTTGTTTTGGCCACACACTTCTCCTTGGTCACATTGCCTACCTACTATTCCTTAACTACGATAAACACCCTCTCAAGTACACCCCACCTCCAGTCTCCATATAAATGTCGTCTTATCAGAGAAACCACCAATCTCTAGTAACACCCTTCTCCGGGTCTTTAGCTTCCATTATGATTCTTCTAGCACTTATTACTGTTCAACACATCATTTATTCCTGTATACTAGAATATCGCCTGTCTCTCCAACCAAAATCGCCTGTCTCTGCCCATGAAAATGTAGCCTTTCGTCAGTTTGGTCCACTGCGCAGCCTGACATATAGTGAGGGCTCAGGAAGCTGACGAAGCGAGCTAAGGAATGTGCCAGGCGCTAAGCCTGGTCCTGGGAAGGCCAGGGATAAGCCTGGGCTGTGGCCCTCCCAGACTGGTGGGCGGGGAAGTGAGTACAAGCCAGAGTGGCCAGTGTTGTGGGTAAATACAGATGCTGTGATAAAGAACACGTGAGAGCCCGAGAAAATCAGCCGCACCGCCTGGAAACGAAAAGAAAGCGTGAGTCCGAGAGATGGGGGGGGGGGGCATTCCAGAGGCAGAACAGGGAGTGGCCAGTAGGCTGACTGCTCTGCAGCCCCAGATAGGAGGCAGGAATGGCCGAGAGCAAGTTTGGAAAGACAGACGGGGATCATTTTAGGAAGAGGTTTTGTTAGAGCAGCGATGGCTGACTTCTCCGATCCCCGCCAGGCCAGTGAAGGAGTTTCGGTACCAAGCGTCTGTGGCTAACCCCTGAAAGGCGTAGGATGAGCGCCTGGTCCCTCCATGGTAAAAGTCTAGAACAGCCTAGGGTCCCGGCATCCCTGCTGCCTCCTCCTAGCCTTCGGTTGCTGACCAAAGGCCACACCTCCCAGGAAGACCCTGCCTGAGCTCCACGGAGCCAGAAAAGTCCTCTGTCACATCTCCACTGCCTTGAGCAGGAGGAATCCAAGTTTCAAAATGGTCTTATTTTGCAATCTGACTCAAAAGGGTGGGGAGTGGAAAATTATAGACAGCAGCCACCAAGGGACTTTGACTTAATATAACCGGTGACCTGGGAAACGGCAGAGGCAAAAAATAATTTCTTCCTCCTCTGACTGAGGGACAGAGAGAGCTTCTCAAGGCAGAGTCAAAATAAAGACTTCCTTCAAGAGAAGGGCAAGCATTTGTACATTTACAGGGTGGGTGGCTGTCCCTCCCACTTCCTCTCTTGCTGCCCCGTGCCTCCCTCTCCTGTTTTTCTTTACACTGACTGCTCCCCCGCCCTCCCCGTCCTTGCCTCGGCCTTTCCTGTCTTCTTGTACTCTCTCCCTCTCCTACCTCACCCCTGCTCTGCTCACTCTCCTCCCTCCTCCGCCCTTTGATTGCTTCCTCAGCATAAGCAGCAGATATTTAAGCTGCTAACCACTTATTAAAAGGGAAATAAATCACCAATCTTATGCAGATACCAATGAGCACCTGTCAGTGACTGCCTGTAACCCATCAATTAATGAGAGATGCAGAAACACACTGTAACCAGTTCAGCGAAGACTCCCTAGCCAGACATGCCAGCGTGATAAAATTTGCCTCCTCGGACGTGTTAGGCCATTGGCAGGAGGAGGTGGTAGCTTTCCTGTGTTGTATGGGCAACTCCTGAATACATACCTAGAGCGTTTTCATTCTACCAGTCCGAAACTCCATACTCATTCAAAGCAGTAAGTCTCCACTCTTCCTTCCCGGCCCACTGATGGTCGCCACTCCGTCCGTGATAGAACATGCTTAGTGCCTCACCCGGAGGAATCAATGCAAACATAAAAGAAAGCTGTCAAGCTCTATGATGTAAATAGAAAGGAAAAATCCTCAAGATGTTAGTTTTGGCTTGGTTTGTTTTGTTCTGGATATGAAAAGAAAGGGCCAGGCAATAGTAGGGAAGTACACAGTAGGCACCTAAAACATTTACGAGTGGAAGGTTTGAAGCTATCAACAGTGCCACGGACGCTGAGGCACAAGGGCTGCAGCCATGGACCAGTGACAGGACGCATTTCAGTACAGTCAATGCTCCATATGCAGATTCCCCTCCACGGACTCAACCAACAATGGATAGTAATTCTTTACACCTGAAGGCTTACATCATCCTCTGCGCTCCCCTGTGAGAGATTGTCTAGACCATGTTAATCTCTGGTTATACCATGAGGGATACTCTTGATGGAATTACTCGTGGTAGCCTGCACTGGGCTGCACTTGAGTCCTGAATTCCTGAGTGTAAGCCCAGGTAGCTGGAATAAAAACTTCCAATTGATTAGAAAATGAAAATGTAAACTATACTATTCTCTGGGCTGGGGTCTTAGGCCACATGAAAGGAGAAGCTAGAACAGAGGTGGAAGCAAACGTCTTTAATCCCAGACATAGGCAGATGATCTCAAAGAGTTCCATGCTAAAAAGCTCTAGAGTTCCAGGACAATCAGGGCTCTATCGGGAGAGCCTGTCTCAAAAAAACAAAAAGAAAGAAAATGGGAGCTAACTGGGCACATGGGTGTGTTGTTCTCTGCCACTGTGGATGCACTATAACCCTAACCCTAGCCCTAGCCCTAGAATCAAAAAACTAACTGTAGCCCTAACCTTAGCCCTAGCCCTCACCCTAACCCTAACTGTCATCACCATCCACTTAATCCAAAGCAAGCTCTTTCTTCTTAGGTGGCTTTTGTTAAGGTACTTTAGTCACAGCCGCAGGGGAAGTAGCATTAAGAGGAAAACATTGTGTCTGTCGCCCCCTCTACAGACCTCTTCTTGCCGTTATCTTCCTAAATAACACAGAATTACTCTCTGCATAGCACTTACATTGCATTAGGTATTCTAAATAACCTAGCAATGATTTGATACACGTTGAAGGGTTAGATGCCATTTTTAAATACTATACCTTTTTCCAATATAAGAGACTTGAGCACCCCTGGGTTTTAGTGTCTGAGGAAGACTCCAGTAACCAATCCCATGTGGTCACCAAAGGACGCCTATATTTTAACCCCTCATATGGCTGAAATCATTCATCAGTGTTTGAGATCGTGCCTTCCCTACAATCTTCGGACATTAAGATGGACTGGGCAGAGTTTAGCCTGCCCAGGGGACAGCAGGTGTCTCCTGTATACACACTTAGGTGCACACTCAGCCGTGTTGACTGCCTCTTAGTATAGGAGTCCTGTGAGAGCTGTAGGGTTTCTGTCTTGGCTGAACTGGTGCTCTCTCTGAGGTTCAGTGGCAGGAATGGGGGTACCCGGGAGCTAGCACTTACTGGAGATTTGTGGGGTCAGGGATTAAAGCTACTCATAGTTGAAGTCAGCCTAAAGGATCAGCTTCTAGGGAGAAGTTGGAGAACACGAACAGAAACAATGAGACAGGGTTGTCACCATGGAACTAGAACCAGAAGCTGGAGCAGCCCCGGCAATGAGGGGCAAAGGCCATGGCTAAGTCTGAGGTGACCTCTTGTCAGTGTTGCCAGGCCCCTGGGAAGAGCTAGCAAGGAACTACAGTCATGTTGGCCCTGAGGAGTGAATATCTGGTCTAGCACGAAACCAACCTACTAGACCAAAGAAAACTTCACCATTACCTGATTAGAAGGAAAAACTACTATATTCTGGCTCATAGAAAGTGAATTCATAAGGGGTTGAAGGATGGCTCAGTGGTTAAGAGCACTAGCTGCTCTTCCAATGGTCCTGAGTTCAATTCCCAGCAACCACATGGTGGCTTACAACCATCTGTAATAAGATCTGGTGCCCTCTTCCCATACGTGCAAGCAGAACACTGTATACATAATAAAAAAACAAACAAACAAATAAATAAAAAAGAATCAATTTGCTGGCGATGGTGGTGCACACCTTTAATCCCAGCACTGGGGAGGCAGAGGCAGGCAGATCTCTGTGAGTTCAAGGCCAGCCTGGTCTACAGAGTGAGTTCCAGGACTGGCTCCATAGCTACTGAGAAACTCTGTCTCCAGAAAAAAAAAGAAAAGGAGAGAGAGAGAGAGAGAGAGAGAGAGAGAGAGAGAGAGAGAGGAAAGAAAGAAAGAAAGAAAGAAAGAAAGAAAGAAAGAGAAAGAAAGAAAGAAAGAAAGAAAGAAAGAAAGAAAGAAAGAAAAAAAAGGATTCCTGTTCCTGGCTGGGCTTTTTGTTGTTCTTTGTTTTTGTCACCGTCACGTGAACTGACCTTATCTGAGAGGAGGAACCTCAGTGGAAAAAATGCCTCCATCAGATGTTTATGTCTATAGGTAATTTTCTCTCTGTCTTCTCTCTCTCTCTTTCTCCCTCTCTCTCTTCTTTATTTTCTTTTTGACTTCTTTTTTGAGACAAAGTTTTTCTGTGTAGTCCTGGAACTCACTCTGTGGGCCAGGCTGGCCTCTAACTCAGAAATCTGTCTGCTTCTGCCTCCGGAGTGCTGGGATTAAAGGTGTGTGCCACCACTGCACAACTTTAGGGGATTTTCTTAATTAGTGATTGATGGGGGAGGGCCCAGTTCCCTATGGCAGTGCCACTCTGGGCAGGTGGTCCTAGGTGGTATAGGAAAACAGGCTGGGCAAGCTGAGGGGAGCAATTCAATAAACATCATTCCTCCATGGTCTCTGCATCAGCTCCTGCCTCCAGGTTCCTGCTTTGAGTTCCTGCCCTGACTTCCTTCCTGATGAACTGTCATCAGGACATGAAAGCTGGAAAGAACCCTTTCCTTCCTAAGTTGATTTTGGTTGGAGCATTTTATCACAGCAGAAACCTAAGGCAGACAATGGGGTGAGGCTGGGTGCTTCAAGAAGACTCCCCTTCCAGGAGGAGATACAGCGCATGGAACTGGAGCTCCACTTTGCTCTTGAAACTCCACCATTCACAGGCTATGTGACCTCAGGTGAACCACGTCCTCTATATGAAATGAGGGCTTTTGTTTGAGGCCTCCTTGGGACCTCAAGGATAGAGTGCTTGTCCAGGTCATTGCCAGAAAAGAGCAGCAGACCTGAGTCAAGGAACCGTCCGGCAGGGCAGCTCAGTGTTTCCCAGTGGAGACCCATCACCTCCTCCTGGGAGCTTCTCATAATGTTCCTGTGAAAAATACAAGGGACAGAACATTGTCTGGATGCCAATTTGCCCTCAGAGGTTCTCTGAGCCCTGGCAGGAAGGAAATACAGATGCCAGAGTCAGAATTGCCACGAAGCCACAGAAATCTCTAAGTGCCCTGCTTGGAGACACGCGAGCCAGACATTCACATCCTTTTCCTCACAGAAAACATCCCCAAATTGTGTAAGCTCCACGCCCCATGCTTCACAGAATCTGGACCTAGCCCTGCTAGAGACCTCTGGTTTGAAGCCACTATTGTAGTGGGTGGAGGGCCCCAACGTCTCTGCAATGAGAGGGGCAGGGCTCAGCAGTAGACAGCAGGTCAGCTGCACCCTTGGTGCCTTGACTCTGCCTCTGCGCTTCTAGCTGATAAGGGACCAGTGCCATCCACACCTGTCCTATTTTCACATTCCTGATCCCACTGAGTGCTCCCTATGAGAAAGGCAGATCTTA